TTCCCCCCCCCCCCCCCCCTTTGGAGACTGTTGCTTGGCAACCTGCGATCTGCTCTGCTGATTGGCAGGGCCGTGGCGGCAGGGGAAGTCGGATGTGTCTGGTCAAGTTCGCATGATTATGGTCAACACGCTGTCATTGTGTATTACACTCTTTGCATGGCTTGACCACTCAAATAACAGCCTGCTGCTTAGCTCAGCTAATGTCTCAAACACGCTAGAGCAGGAGTTTGGAAGAAACTCAGAGGAAACTTTTAATATACTGTGCTATTTTAAAATAGATTGTTCTGGTACTGGATGCTGCATTGGTTAATATAGCGTTGCAGCTATGCTAAACACAATATAGCTATAATGTACTGTGTTTTCACTGTGAAGCATCTAACAGCTATTAGCAACTATTAACGACTTTGTCTTGAAGCAGAAGGATGATACTCGGATAAAAAACACTTTGATTTTAATTATAAAAACTGGTGAAAAAATATTTTTAAACTGATGAAAATATATTTAATATATTTACCTACTGTTTAAAAACAGGTATACATATTGTACTTAATTAAACTGGCAAATTAATGCACAATTAAGTCATTTTTCTTTTTACATATAAAGACAATTCAAACATAGTTTAGCATTTTAATACATTACTTTTATAATGTGTAAGAGAATATTTAATATATTTATTTGTACTTTAGAAGTGTAAACAGATGAATATAATATATGAAACATAAAAAGAATGAAGAATTAATGAAGAATTCTTTTTCAATATTCATTGAGATCACTGACTTTTAATTGTAGACAAAAGAAACATGGTTTAGACTGTTTCTAAAGTTTGAGGACACGTGAGATTATTGCCTTTTTTAAAGGGATAGTTCACTCAAGAATGAAAATTCTGTCATTTTCTCTTCCTCAAGTTGTTCAAAAGATGATATTTTGAAGAATGTTGGTAAACAAACAGTTTCTGGTCCCCGTTCACTTCTATAGTATTTTTATTTTTATTTCTTCCATACTATGGAAGTCCATGGCTACCAGCAACTGTTTGGTTAACAAAATCCTTCAAAATATATTTTGTGTTTGACAAAAGAAAGACATTCATACAAGTTTTGAGCAACATGAGGGTGAGTAAATTATGTCAGAATTTTCATTTTTAGGCAAACTATCCCTTTAAGGAGAACAGTAAGGGCACTTACAATGTCTCCATTTGTTCTTCATTTAATGTCATTGGTGTCTGTGAGAAACATTTGAGTTTTTGAAGAGAT